TTAAAGACGGAACTGTGCAAAAAATTTCATCGCGATCTGACTCTCCTTTCGAAAGTTATCGTGTAAACGGCCGGCCGGACATACTGACCGATTCTAGAGTGTACTCACTTTTTGAGTACACAACAATATGATGCAATGTATCCCAATGAAAAAGACACTGAATTAGGTCATTTGTATTTTATACCAAAGCCACAGAAAGTAAGCGTTTCTTTTTTCTATATGTAAAAACATTCACTTGTATTCGAATACATTCTTTTGTATAGACTGGTACACCATTACGACCTATTGTCGCTGCAATTTATGCACCAGCAATCTTAGTATCAAAATTTCTTGATGATAAACTTCGATCTATTTTCAATCAAGTTGCTCGACAAACAATCTATATTAACAGTATGGATCTTGTTAAACAGTTAGAAACATATCAAAATTCTGGACACTTACTACAAACGACAAAATTTATAACAGCCGATGTAAAAAATCTTTATACTATGATACCAAAAGGTGGTGCATTGGATGCATTATATCGATTTTGTATTAAACATGGCAAAAATCGTCACATTGGCAATTTACATGCGAATACCATTATTCGATTGGCATGTCTCGTATTAGAGACAAATTGTTTTGTTTTTGATAATAAATATTATAAAAAAATTCGTGGTGGTGCTATGGAATCCCCATTTACAATGACATTAGCTAATATTTATATGTATGAATGGGAACAATCCCTAATACAATATGAACACCAACGAAATGAACTATACGGCCGGTAGTTTATTTTTTTATTTTTTGAAAGCAAAGACATATGCGTTATAACAATATTGCCTGTTTTAGATATATTGATGATATATTTATGACTTCAAATGAACCTGATGAAAACATTAAAGTATTACTTGATCGAGAAAATGACAAAGATCCAAATATTCGTATTACTTATACCATTCATGAATCTGTCAAATTTCTTGATGTCCAAGTTGCCAATGTTCAAGGCCAATTAAAAACGTCAGTTTTTCGTACACCAGCTGCCGAACCTTACATACTACCATACACGTCGGATCATCCACGTCATATTCATTCCAATACAATCCAAACAGCTTTACTTCGTGCTATTCGACTTTGTTCAGACATAGAAATATTCGACCAAGAACGATTAAATATTGAAATAGCCTTACTCTTGAACGGATATCCACTAAATTTTATTAAATGTCATCTTAAACAATTCTTCAAAACCCATAATGCTATACCAATCTACCAAGATTTACATGGTGAAACCTATAAAAAATTACATCTATAACTACTTGATGAATCATTAACTATTCATAGAGTATCAAATCAAAAAGAAAGAGAAAAACAACATATACAAACCAACCAAGAATCTCAGACAACCACCCAGGTGGGTTAAAACGGAGACTGTTACGGCGTCGTTTACGAGCGTAAACGACAAGGATACGGTGTATTTTCGACCGTATACGATGAAAATACGGCCCGTTACGGCGCCGTATTACCCCGTTTTAACACGGGCAGTAATACGGCCGTATTTTCCCGTACCGTATACGGTGAGGTATACGATCGTTTACAAAAGTTACGGTAGTCGTTTACGGACCGAATTTCGATTAATTTACGGCCACAAATACTCCGTTTCTTTATAGTTTAATCGTCACATTAACTCGCTGTTATATGCTGGCGAAGCCTAGAAATTACTATAATATTCGAATCCTTTTTGTTTTCGTTTTAAAGATGTGTTTTTTATAAGAAAAACTAAAGCAAAAAGGAAACCACTACGAATAAAAGTAAGAATAAGAAAAACTTATTTTATTCAGACTTTCACCTATTTTCCA